AAGTCGGGACCGCCGCCCCCTCCCCCCGAAGAAAAAAGCCCCCGGAAAGGCCCTTTTTTTTTTAGGGTCCTTCAAAAAGCAAGCTGCCAAAAACAGTTAACCTCGCTTTAAAAAAAAAAAAAAAAAAAACCTCCCAGCGGGCGCCCAGTGTGGGCCGCCTCCCCCAACCAAGCTGCCGGGGACAGCCAGCCCCTCAAACCCCGGGCGGCCTGGCCCGCTCGCCCCCACCCAAATTACGAGAGCGGCGGCGGCCGGGGCCGGTGGGACCGCGCGCCCTGCCCGCGAAGCAGCGGCGGCGGCGCCGGCTCACATCGTCCGAGGCGGTGTCAGCAAGGCTGGCAGCCCGGGCGCCCGCCACTCGGGCCGGGGGCCTCGGCTCTCGGGGGGCCCGGTACCCCGGCGCCCATGGCTGCTCCGCCGGCCGGGGCCGCTCCGCCGCCGCGCCTCCCTCCCTCCCTCCCTCCCCCCCGCGCCCCGAGCCTCGCGTCTTTCTCTAGCTCTGCCCGAGCGGCGGCTGCCGGAGACCGAGCGGCTGCCCTTCTCGCCGCCGCCGCTGGGGGACTGGCACCTCTGGGTCCTAAAGGGATCGGATTTCCGGGCCCAGAGCCCGTGAGCCCTCCCCTTCCCCTCCGTCCGAACTCGCGGCCTCCCTTGCCCGTAGCTGGAGGGGAACCCTCTTCGACCCTTCCACCGCAGCCGCAGACTGAGGCTTCTCGCAACCCACATCACCGCACCCGCAAGACGTACTGGGAGGAGGCAACCCAGCCCGCGGGGTCTCAGGACGACCCCCTGTCCTCCCCAGACGTGAGGGGTGGGGTGTCCCTAGGCGGGAGCAGATCCCTTCCTCCCTCCCCTCAGGGGCTGTGGCGCTCCTCCTTGGTGTACTTCAAGGCTATTATTAGCATCAAAGGTGCTGGGTGCTGGGTGGAAATACAGATGCCAGGGCCCTGCCCCAAACCTGCAGAAAAGACAAGTCTTGTAGGCTGGACCCAGGAATCTGCATTTGAACACTGTCCCCTGAGCACTCCGGTGTGAAACCTGGGCTCAGCATTGCCCTCCTTGTGGTGGGTGAGTGTGGGGGTGGGGAATGAAGAAAGGAGGCGGCCCCCCTCACCCGGGTCTCAGGGGTCTCCCTAATCTCCCCTCTGGCCCTTTGGAAGCCTGAAGAGAACAGACTGTAGGCGATCTGCACCCCCTGGGGAGTTGAAGTCCCACCTCCAGGCCCCCAGCAGGGCACTCCTGCCTCCCAAACAGGAAGAAAGCCTTTGCCAGGAAGAATTCTAGAGGCCTGGGGCCGAAGTTTCCCCAGTGACAACTCTAACTTGGGTCTCCAATTTAAAGGATCCTGGCCAGTGTGCGCCAGAGGGTGACAGTGACCTCCACATGTCCCCTGACCTAGCAACCCAGAAAACTGCTGTAAGCCTCCCTACCCCCACCCTGGCACACACAGACCAAGGGGCCTGGGGCTGCCCGGTGTCCCTGGCCCACTGCCTGGGCCCTGGCTGTGGGGGTCCACCCTAGGCACAGGTCCAGATGCGCTGCTCCCGTCCAGAGCCCAGAACGTGAGAACAGGGTGGATCCTAGGACCCAGAGAACAACTCAGGCACAAAGCCTCCCCCCTCTCCCAGCTGCTTCCTGCATATGGGGCCTTCCTGCGGCCTCTGCCTCCTCCCCCGCCCTCTTCCCCTCCATCCTCTTCCTCCTCATCCTAATCTCCCAGTCTCAGGCCCCTGGCCTGGAAGGGCTGCAGAAGGGAGCCCTCCTGGCCCTCTGCTGCAGGAGTGTGTGTGGGTTTTGTGGGCTATTAATCCGTTGGCGAGAGCTTGCTACAGTGTGGAGGATGGGATGTGGGAAAGCCGCCTGGGAACCCTGAATATTGGGATGGGGAGGAGCCAGGAACCACAGGACTGGATCCCAGGACTGCTGCTAAGGGGGAGGGAAGATTTGGGTTCTGAGCTGGAGCCGGAAGTGAACCCAGGCCTCTGACTTGCCACTGCCACCTGCCCAGGAAACTTCCCCCTCCCCAGTTTTGCCCTTGGGGGCAGGCCCTCCCAAGCCATCACGGAAGATCCCTTTCTAAAACAAGCTTTAGGACCTGGGTTTCCAAGATCAAGGCTGGGGCTGGAAAACCCCCTCCCCGCAGGCCCCTCCCAGCAGCCCCACCCCCTCATCTCACCCAGCCTGGGGGTTGGGAGTTTGGGCTGTGTCCTCGGAAGCTCTTGTGTTGGATTGGACGAGGTTGCAGGCCCCTGGGTGTTCTGCCCAGAATCTCCCACACCCTTTGCGGTGAGTCATCTTAACTGGTCCCAGCCCAAGGGGTCTGTGCCCACAATCTGGCCAGGTGGGGAAGCCCCTGGCTTATGGAGGTGGGAGGAGGAGCTGAGAACCAGCTGTTGGGCCCTGAGTCCCCGGGACCCCCTTCCGCATATCTCCTGCAGCTTGGAATGAACTAGGATTCTTTCCAGGGGTGAAGGCCCTTTTGGGGCTTTGGGATACTCCAGGGTGGTTCGAGCCCAGATCTGGGGTGACGAAGGCTAATGAGTGGGACTCAGACTGCTGTTAGAGGAGTAATGAGCAACAGCCCCGGCCAGGATTCCCGAAGAAGCTTTTATGCAGCCCTAAGTGCTTTAACCATCACTCCTTCCCCAGGCTCCGGCTGGGCCAGATGGGTGGGGAACGGGGCGTCATCTTCAGCCCCTCCCTGGCTGCCTGGATCGGAGCTCGGTCTGTGAGAAGAGGGGCTACCTCCAAACAGAAGACTTCCAACCCAATTTCCATTCCTCAGGCTGTCCTCCTCATCTGCCCCCTGTGGTTCTGCGCCCCAGGGGAATCTGACTGCCCTCTCTCAGTCTTTGTGCAGGAGACCTTGACAGCCAACTTGCCTGCTAGTCTTTGGACAGAAGCCCCTTCCTTACCTTTGCCCTGGCCTTAGAGGGTGGAATATTTCCCAAGGTTGACCCAGGGGCTGAGCTGCCAGGGCTCAGATCTTGGCTCTACCACTTCCTAGCTGTGTGGCCTTGGAGAAGCCACTCAGCCTCTCTGTGCTCTGAGAAGGAGGAACTGAGGCTTGGAGAGTGGCAAGGGTAGGGAAGGAGCTGCCTTTCCCAGCCCATGTTGCAAAGGCCGGAGGCTATGTGGCTGGCCCAGATAATTGGCTTCCAACTCTCCTCCCAGTAGAGCCCCTGCCCATTTTCCCACACCCTCCAGATCTGACGAGGGCCCTCTGGGAAGGCGCACTTGGAGGACTGTCCCTGGAGGCTTGCTAGTTTTAAACACCAGGTTGTTACTGCAGAGGAGGTGACGAAGAGTGGGGAGAGGCCTGATGTGCGATAAGTCCCAAGCCCTCAGCGCCCTGGGCTCGGCCTGGGCTGGGTGCCAAGGCTGGCTTCTCATCTCAGCTCTGAGGCCTTGAGACTCGGCCTCTGAGTGTGACTTTCCCTTGGCCACCATCATCTGAGCAGAGGCTAACCCAGGCCCTGCCCTCCAGCTACTTTGGATGAGCCAGTGGTCCCCGGGGATCCTCTGCCAGGGGCCCAGGCCGGGACTAGTATGCTGGAAAAGCACACGTAACGTGTGCACCCTCACAGGCCGGAGATCGCAAATCCAGGACGTTGTGCTGGAGGGGTCTCTAGTGGCTCTTGGCTGATGGCTGATCCCTTCGCTGGCGAATGAGGAAGCCTGAGCACTGGCACACCCCATGTTGGAGAAGAGACCAGGCTAGGGTGCATGAGGCCTGAATGGAGCCCTAGCTCCACCCATTTCCTGGGTGACCTTGACCTGAATGTCTGAGTGCCTCCTGAACCCAGGTGACCCTGGAATCCCACTGGGCACGGGGAATAGAGCTTAGAGAACACAGGCTTGGAGGCTGAGCCATTTTGTTTGTCTTTGACCTGCCACTTCCTGCCTAAGGGACCTCAGCAAGTTCTCCATCATCAATGGAACAAACATACCAATTTCATTACGTTGTGGGGAGAGGTAAACACGTTCAAAGTGCGTAAAACACAAAGAAGGAGCTTGGCGTGGGGGCTGGTGCATATCTTCACCCGGGGACATGTGTGCTGGTCCCTGCCTGGGTGGGTGTGGCCGAGAGGGAGCACCACTATTTGTATCTCAAAGTGTTGTCTTCATCGGACATTGGGCTTCTTGTTTCTTTTTTAAGAACATATTTAATCGCAAGGTAGAGAGACAGGGAGAGAGAGAGAGAGAGAATCATCCATTCACTGGTTCATTGCCCAAACGGCCACGACAGCCAGGTCTGGGCCAGGCTGGAGCCAGGAGCCAGGAACCCCATCCTGGTCTCCCATGCAGGAGGGTGGCAGGGGCCCAAGCACTTGGACCATCTTCCTCTGCCTTCCCAGGTGCATTAGCAGGGAGCTGAATTAGAAGTAGAGCAACCAGCACTCCAATATAGGATACCAGCGTCATAAGCAGTGGCTTAACTAGATGCCACAACCCCTCCCCACCCTCGTCCCTTTTTACTGTACTTTGTGACATTCTGAAATACTAGGGACCTTCAAAAAGTTCATAGAAGGGGGCCAGCGCTGTGGTGCAGTGGGGTTAATGCCCTGGCCTGAAGCGCCGGCATCCCATATGGGCACCGGTGCTAGTCCCGGCTGCTCCTCTTCCAATCCAGCTCTCTGCTATGGCCTGGGAAGGTCCTTGGGCCCCTGCACCCACGTGGGAGACCTGGAGGAGGCTCTTGGCTCCTGGCTTCGGATCGGTGCAGCTCCAGCCATTGTGGCCAATTGGGGAGTGAGCCATCGGATGGAAGACCTCTTTCTGTGTAACTCTGACTTTCAAATAAATAAATATATTTTTTTAAAAAAAGTTCATGTGTATTATAAAAAAAGAGCACGTAGATTTCAAAAACTTCTTGCACTAAAATAAACTTGATCTTTTAATTCCATTTTTCTATAAACTTTTTGAAGCACCCTGGCCTAAGCACCTCCTCCACATCTTTGGGGATCATTTTGAGTGAAGGGGGCCTTCTAAAGTGTTTGTCATTCTGCCTCTTGGTACCTTGAGTTTCCCATTGCACCTGCAAGGAGAAGGATCCCGTGGGGTCCTCCCATGGCAGGAGACTGCCTTGTTGCCTGTTCCTGTGTGTTCCCCTCTTTCTAGCAGTCTCTGCACCTCACTCTAGGGCTGCTTGGAAAGTTCAGATACATTTTGGAGATGGGGGAGGGAGACTTCGAGGGAGTGGTCAGGCTGTGTGTGTGGTTGGGGGGGGCAGGAGCAGGACAAAGGAAAGATTTCTCCAAATCATCAGTTTCTTTAAAAGAAAGCCTATATTTAGCCAGGCTTAGAGGGCCTGTAAATATGTATTTTGCAACACAGACAGCCGTAGCCGTAGCCGTAGCCGTGGGAGCTTCAGAGATAGGCAGGGAGGTCAAAGAAAAAAAAAAAAACTGGGAAGATTAGGCAATGTATTTTGTCATCAGCAGATTCGAAGAACTCTTCCTACTGCCTGCTCCGCCGACTAATAATACACACGTCTGTGCT